TAGTGTTTTGCAATGGTTAAGCGATAATGTTCTATGGTCAAGTGAACATGGTCGAGAATTTTTGATACGCTATCAATCGATGCCTGATTATATCGTACGTATAACAGGACCCGATGGTATTCGTTTATCAAATTTATTACAGCAACAAGCTTTACAATTAAATGATGTATTACGTTGGCATCATGATCATGTACAAATAGACCGCACTGAAAATTCTTTACGTATGACAATAAAACCAAATAATAACATTGAGATTGTCAATTTACCTTTGGAAGAGAATGAAAAAAAACGAGAAAAAGTAAATGAAGAGAAGAAAAAATCTACCAATCAAAAAACAAGAAGTATATTTGAAAAAGAAGAAAAAAGTTTGGTTTTTTTTATTCCTCTTAACCAACAAACTCCAAGTGACAGCGAAGTAGAAGTAGAAGTAGTAGACGAACGAGAAGGGGAAGAAAAAGAACATTATAACCAACATTCTACCTCTACTTTACTCCAACAAGAAGAACAGAAAAAAATAAAAACCAACGACGACGACGAAGACGACGACGGCAGAGAACGGGTATTACTCCTTGAAAGTATTGCTTCATTGTTGCACTTTGTCAATGCAAATGGTAGTAACGTTGGCACGCTCGAACTCATTCAAGGTCGTCGCTTAAGGCTTTCGTTAACTGACAATTCTCCTCTTTCACAACAACAACAACAAATTGAATTTAATGAAGATGATACAAAAATTCTCTATGAAAATCTTAATTTAGACATCGATTCTTGTACGCAATATTTGGTTGATCATATTTTTGATAAAATTGAATTTGATAAAGAAAATCAATATCTTATTATACATTATCGTGGACAAATGTTGAAATTAAAAAATTTAAAACAAAAAATCTTTCAGCCTTCGGCTAAAAAACTTCGATTAACATCAAATAAAACATCAACAACACCAACAACTATAAATGAAGACCATGTTAATATGATAACAGATTGGCTGGATCAATTAAATGGTGAGAAATTAATAACAATAACTGAACAAAATGATATTGTCATACTTCCTAATGGTGAAGATGATCAAGAACAGCAAATATTTCTTAATCATGATGATGTTGATGCATATATGGAAAATAAAATTAATACATCAAAACCATCGGATGAACCAGAAATTATTGGCATGAATGATATAGCACGAATTTTACTTATATATAATTATATTCAATATTCAAATGGACATATACAGTTTGGTTCTCAACATATAGCATTAGATAAAAATGAATTAACATGGTTAAAATCAATTATACGTGGTGTAAGACCTGATACAGGAAATCGTGAAACTGAAATTGATTTATTTGATGGAGAACATACTAAAGTACTTCATGTACCATACGAACATATGCCACTAACGAATGATCAACGTGTTGTTGCAGATTATCTCTTCCGTAATGGACATGTTCGATATGATGTTGATACAGGAAATTATGCTTATAGTTATGTGGCACCAGATATACCATTAGAAGATGAAGATAATTCAACTGAACGTATTGGTCAACGTCAAGTTCTTTTATCACATATTCGTCATATTCATGTTGATGAAGAAAATGAACGTATAGAACTTGAATTTCTTCATGATCCAAATCATCGTCTTGAATTGCCAACACGTTGGTATCGTCAAGCATTAACACATGATTTTGAACGTGCTTATATTGTTGATATGTTACTTGCTAATGGTGGTACTATTGATCATGATACATTTGTATTCAATGATCGTAAATATTCATTACAAGTTCCAAGAGTTTCAACAACTTCATCTTCAGCACCAGCAACAAATCTTCAAACAATAAAATTATCAAATAAACAAAAACAAGAACTTATTGAAAAATATGTTGAAATAATAAATACACAAGATGGTATTAAACTAGATAATTCAAATGATTTATTAGTATTAGAAAATCAATCTGATGGTTCACAATTATATTTAACACCTGAACATACTAAATTTATACATCAAAATAAATATCGACGACAAGATGTTACACGTTTCCTTACTAAACATGGTCAAATAAAACAAGATGAATTCGGTAATTGGTTATTACATTATAATAATCAATATGTTCAATTTCCACCATCTATTATACCAGCAACAACAGCATCATCAAATAATATGTCAAATGTAATACGTTCATTAGGTCAAAAATTTTCACGTCAACAACCATCAGGAGCCGCAGCAGCAACAGTACCAACGAGTGATGATGATGCAGAATTTCGTGCTCGTTTAGCACAAGAAACGCAAGCTGAATTTATTCATCGTTATCATGCAACTATTGAATATATGTATACTCATGGTTTAATAACAATTAATAAGCGTTTAAAACTTATTCAAATACATTTTTCAAATCAAACATTAACTATTCCACTTGATCAATTACATACAATTGTTGATGCACGTACATTCCAAACAACGGCTGAGAATGTTATACCATTTGAAAGTCATCAATTATCAAAATGGTTATTAGATCATTCAGATACAATAAGTAATACACGTCATGGTTATATACGATTAACACATAAAAATAAAACATATGATTTTCCATTAATAAATCCTAATAATCGTCCAATACAATCACAATCAGCAGTATCATCAATAGTAAAACGTTTTGGTTTAACATCAAAAAGTATAGCATTACTAACTAAAATTGATTTAACAACACCAGAAAATCAAACCCGTTGTGCAACTCATTTACTTGATAAACTTGATCAATTTGGTTCAATTAATATTGATAATGAAACACGTACACTTATTCTATCAATGACACCGGATAATCAACAACAGTTAGTTGTTCAAAATCCTGTAGTACCTGTTACAAAACAAACATTAATTGATTATTTAACAAGTCATGGTCGTTTTACATTGAATGCTGATCGAACAAATATTGAATATCGTCATTATGATGATGGAAGAGTCTATCATTTTGATTCCTATGTACGTGATTGGGAAGATGCACTTGGAGAAACGAATGAAGAACGTATTATACGTATATTAGGAGAAATTCTATCATTAAATGGACGATTTTTACAACGTGCTGATAGACAACTAATAATATCATTAAGAAATGGTGAACGTTTCATAATTCCAAGTAATATTGGTGAACAATTACTTGGTCCTATTAATGGACAAACAATAGCAGAATTACTTGTAAAATATGCTGATAATATTTATGAAGAACAAGATGGAAAATATCTTGTTATTCATCTTGCTAATCAAACTTTACGTTTACCACAACAAAAACAATTAATGTCAAATAAACAATCATCAGGAGCAACAACAGGAGCAACATCGAAAGGAGCAGATGATCCAAAATTAAAATTACTCTTTCCATTTAATAGAAACTTAAGACAAATACAAAAGACACCATCAACATCAACATTAAATATTCAACCACCAGATGCAACAAATGGTTATGCTATTGATCCATTACTTATGCTTGCTAATTATATATATCGTGCTGGTTCTATTTATCAAGATGATCTTGGTCGTTTAGTTATAAAAATGAATGAAGATGAAATAGTTGTACCACGTATAGAAGCAATAAATGCTATTGAAACAATCAATACTTCACCACATCGTACAGGTACAATAATTGCACGTTTAATTGATCGTATCGGTAAAGTACAATCAAATAAAGCTGGTGGTTTAATAATAACAATTGGTAAAAGTTCATTTGAATTATCAAAAGATTTAATTGATCGAGCTAATCAATTACATCGTGAAACAATTGATATTGAAAATGATCTTCCTATTCAAGATCAAGATATAGTTCAAACTGGTTTAAATGGTGCAATGACATTAGCTGGTCGTCATAATCGTCAACCATATGGACCAACATTATTACCATTATTACGTCAATCAAAATCAGTTGGTAGTTTATCAACATCAACTATAGGACATCCATGGTTTACTGATGATCAACAAATGCTCTATTCAAAAGATGGTCGTGGTGATGCAAGATATTTAAATTTAGATAATTATTCATTAGCATGGCAAAAAGAAGCACATAAACATGGTATTGGTTGTGAAGTACGAACACTACGTAATGTTGCACCTTATTTAGATGTATTAGGTTATGTTGAAAATGATCCAAAGAAAGGTTTAAATATTAATGATTTAACACGTTTACATCCTGAAATGTTCAAGGGTGGTAAATTACCTGATAATCAATATTTAACAAAATTAGAAAATGATCGTGCACAAGTACAAACAACATTATGTCCAAAACCACGTATACTTGTTATACCTGATGATGAAACAATGTTATCATCAGATCGTAAAACACGTTTTTATGTTCAATATATGTATGATCATGATGCTGTACTTGGTGCTGATCCAGCTTATGTTATGATGTTACCAAGTCGTTATCCTGTTCGACCAACAAGACCACAACTGATTGCTCCACATCATTATCGTGATATAGCTTTACGAGATGCACCTGTTTATGTTCATAAGAAAGGTGAAGGTGAAGTTTTCTTTGAAAATCTTGCTCAATATTTATCAGCTGAACATCCCGATGTTTCACCACGTACTGTTCGTCGTATGTTAAAATATGATAAAGGAGATGAATATCTCGAATATTTAAGCAATAAAATGCCAGCAGCCGATGCTGCACGACTTTTACAAGAAAGTGAAGAACCAATTGGTGAAGCATCAGTACGTTATGATCATATACCAACAAGAGTGAGTGGTAGTAGAACAAACTTAACTGAGAATGATGAAGAAGAAGATGTTGATGGTGATCTTGATGAATATATTATTGAGAATGAAAATCGACGACGAATTGTTTCACCACGTACTTATTATAATCTTCAAAATGGTTCAATAAACAGTTATGAAGATCAAAGACAACCAGTTATCTATGAAAATACTCCATTGAAATCATCAATGTCAGGATCAAAATTTGTTGAAAGAAGTCCATCAACTTCAAGTCTTGGTTCGGATATGCTTATTGCAAATACATTTCCAACACGTCGTTCTGTACTTGGCAATGCTCCTTCAATAAATATTCCAATATCTCGTAATGATATCAATCGTACAACTACAAATCCATTAAGCAGTCTCACCGATGAGAACTATGGCCGACCTGTTGTGCGTGGTCCGGTCTAAATATAATTCTTTGCTTCTTTTCGTTTTCTTTTTTTTATTCAGTTTTGCTAAATCAATAATGTGAACAGTATGTCTTCATATGTACAAAAAATATTCTCTTGAGCTACTATTACTACTACTACTACTTCTTCTTCTTCTTCTTTGTCTTTGTTTTCTTTTTTCAGCCGTTTCTCATTTATTATACTTTTTAACTTTTGTGCTAACATTTGTTCGCGTTTTTTTCTTTTTTTCAATATTATAGTCTTTATCTTAGTACGCCTAATTTCTTTTTTCACATTTAATATTTCATTTCATGCCATTTTTAACTACACATTTTGTCCAAAACAGAGTGCATAATCTCTCGCTACAGGCTGCCGCTGCCATTTCTCATTTTTTCCTTTTATCAACAAAAAAAAGAAAGAAAGAATAATTATATACATATATATATATATAGCCTTTATTGTCTATCGTAATGTGTTGTATTTTTTTTCGTTTTACATATTTTCAAGGTTAACATTAGTATTCAAGGTTATTCACCTAACATTTACCATTTAAAAATGACTATTTACTTACAGGTGCTTCTCGATTTATAATATATCATTAAACGAGAGGCAGAGAGAGAGAGAGAGAGAGAAAAAACGTATTTTATCGCTGTTTTTTTTCCACTTATGCAAATATCTATTATCGATCGTTTTTTTTTCCTTAATATTTTCAGGCAGAACAATTAATAGCGGTAATGGTCAAAATTCTGCATCACCGGAAAAAACGGTGACATTACCTCGGAGTGCTACTTTATCTGGACAGAGTATGTTAATAGATAAAAAAAAAAAAGAATGAATAATGCATGAAATTGCATGTATGCATGTTGTTTTAGGTAATGATGGAGAGAATGAAGGTCGTAATACTGTTTCACGCAGTACTAGTGCTACCGCAAGTACGTTTTGATTAAAAAATGAATCTGTCATGCTTGAATTTTAAATAATTTTATTCGAAAAAGAAAATTCTATTGATTTAATTTTTTTTCTTGCTTTCATAGAAGTAAATACAAGTAAATCGGATACAGTGAAATCAACAACATCATCATCGGCTGCGTCTAGTCGAGAGGTATATTTAATTTTGAACAAATATTTAAAAATATATATATATATATATACATATCGGGGAGATTTTAATAAATAAAAATATTCTTATCTACAGTTACCAACTACTGCATCATCAACGATGCCACGAGCTCAGAGTGTGGTCAGTACATTTTCACATGCACATACAATTCATCATCTGCTCTTATTCTTGCTTTTATTTATGCTTTTCTATTGCAAAATAGAAAAAAAACCGTTTCTCTTTCTTGATTTTCACCAGGGTTTTACCTATAAATTTGTCATCTAATTGACAACATACACATATGCACTTCTTGGTAGCATGCAATGAAAAACAAATTCAGCAAAACATTCTTCTTTTATTTTGTTTTTCAAAATAAAAATTATTAATATTCATATTATTTTATTTTATTTTGTTTTTCTCATTATGTATAGGCTTCACCATCACGAACAAGTGCTAGTAAAGGTGGCGGTGATGATACAAAGAAAGAGAAGAAATCGAAATTTCGAACACCATCATTTCTTAAGAAACGTAAAGAAAAAAAAGAAGCTACTCATAAAGATAAACCCTAAACAAAAGACAAGCTCATATATACATATATATTCTGTTATTCTTTAGTATTGTCGTGGTGTTCACTCATTTTTTTTGTAGAAGAATTTTTTTTTTTCGTATATAATACCCCTTACATAATTTTTTTCTCTCTTGTATGTGTCTAGCTCAGCTCTCGTTGTTGTATATTGTTGTCTTTTTGTGTGTGTGTATTAATCTCTAATGAAAATAATAAGACTAGTGGAGGTCGATCTCTAGTCAATACGATCAATTAATAGACAAGCTCAAAGAACTTTTTCTTTTTTGTGGTTTCTTATTTGATGAAAAGATAAAAAGAATGACTTTTCCTTTTTCTTGCTTATTGTGTAACTTAGTACGCATTTGTTTTTAGCAAAGAAACTCTTTTTTTTTCTATATTGAACTGTTTCTTCGTTTGCTTTTTTTTCTTGTCCGTGCTGTGTGCGTTGACCCAATTCAGTTTTTTTCTCTCTCTCTCTCTCAATGATAGCACTCATGTGCATATATATATATATACAAAGAAATTGTTTCCTGCATAATAAACATATATATATATATATACATGAACTAGAATAAAATAATCAAAATAAAGTAATATTCAAATCAGAATAATACTGATCTTGCTTTTGGTCATCATTTGTGAGGCGGAATGATGAAAAAAATCTTGCGAGGTAATTTTCTAGTGTCAACGCAAGATGATAATGACACTTGGTTATGTAATCGGAAGGAACTAGATTACTTCATCAGCATCGTGTTCATTCATATTTCAATTACCTATACAAAAGAAAAAGAATGAAAGAAATAATTATGTGTTAACAGTTGAATTATGATGATTTTCTCTTTTGATAAATTTATTAATCAAATAAAAGATCTTGAAGTATAATAATAATAATAATAAAAATAAAATAAAATGAGTATAGATAGTATACTGTATTGAAAGTGCTTCATAATTTTCAAGATTAATAACAATATGAACTTCTTTAAAATTGTCAAAGAAACCTAATAAATGGTCTCTCAATTTTTTTCAATGTTATTATTTATAAGAAATTTCTTATCTTGTCTTAAAATAAGAATATTTATTTTTCAAAAAATCTAAAATCACTTTCGATTTAATATATACATATAAAAATGACATCTATTTATTTTTATTGACTAAAACAAATAGTATGTAAAAAAAGAAACACCACAAATCCTTGATTTTACACTGCAACTGAATAATAAATAAAACAAAAACAAGCAAAATTTTATTTTAACTACATATATTCTGACAACGTCGTTTATTTTTTACAGCCGTTGTTATAACACGAAGAAGTTCCTGATAATTTTTTCCATCATTAAGATTTGAATCTGGATATTCTTGACTAAATACGAGATAACCACATCTAAATATGACTTAAAAATGAATTATTCAATTGAAAGAAAACTATTTCCTAACCGTCCAAATACATAATTATTGATTGTTTGTTTGTGATCACTTAACCTTCTAACTAAATGATCTCTTGAATTATCTTGATAGAGTGGAATTTTGTCATAAGAATCTCCTACATAATTTTGTTCAGCATTTTGTTCGTTTATAAGAGCAATGCGTACAACAGAATCACGAATATTATAACGTTCAAGTTCACGATATAAATCATTGTATCTGTTCAATAGAAAAAGAATAAATTCATAAATATGAACTTGAATGTTTATAATCTGGAAAAAGATTATATATAAAAGTAATTGACTGTAAAATATTATGTAGATATCATTTATTGATGTTATTACTCAATTGCATTTGAACAAAAACCCCAGAAAAGAAATTCATTCGTATGAAATATTGAAATTTCTATTTAGATATTACCTGTTAGCTTGTATGCGTGATGATTGAGTATTTAAATTTATAACACCCAAAACAAGTAATTGTTTTCGATGTGAAGTAATTAAATTCGTACCATTGATAACTAAATTATGTATACATGTTTTTTTCTTATCACGTTGTGCAACTATTGAAATAATTAATAAACTGAAGACTAAAAAGATCTTTTGTGTGTACATATAGCTGGATTCTATTACCACTTATACACTATCAGTATATATATGTAAGAATTGTGTGTATTGATTGTAGATATATAGTCTATTTTTCTTTCTCCCCTTTTTTTTATAAATATCTCCTAAATGACATCTTGATGACAGCTGACATTTTTCTTCATTATAAGAAAAAATTGTACAGATAATAGATTTACTATACTGCCTTGACAGTGATAGCATATCATCATAAGTTTCTTCTTACAGCATTAACCTTTTAGAGTTTAGATCGGTCATCGATTGAACATGAGAAAGTATGAGGACAATGGATAATAGAATTTGTTTGTTGAATGTATAATGAAATCTATCGAAAAAAACAGTAATGCATGTGCTCTCTCGTCTATCTCATCGGTCAGTGATCGAGAAGCAGGCGTCAATTGAATTTCCTGTCTCTTTTTTTCTCTCTCGATTTGAGTCCATTTGTCACACATAGTCATTCTGTCTTTCTCCTTCTCTTTTTCTCATTTTTTTATGTGTGTATACGATGTGACGAGGCCATATGGGTGTCTCTCATATACACATTAAAAATACAATCAAAGTCATCATCATCATCACCATCATCCTTCTTGTCGTTGTCATCATCATCGGCAGCATCCATACATCGTTTGTATAGTCGCCCTTAAGCGAGTTCAACTTGAGAGTGACAGAAAAAAAAAACGAGAGACACAATACATATATATAGTATATTTACTCCATACATCATCATATCATTATTGCTTATTCGTCTGGATTAGCCAAGGATATTTATAAAATGTGTGTATATGACTAGAAGGTATAGTAGACTCAAGCTATTTTAGTTTTTTAATCGACGTAAAAAGCTTTTTATAACAAGTCATTAACTTCTATTTTTTATTTTATATTGTAATTATATGAGAGAAAAAAACCCGCATAGTTGTATTATTTAATGTTTGTAAATAACAAGATTATATAAATTCAATTTTCTCGAGAATCCTTGTCTATACAAGGTCAGATTTTTCTTAAAATTTCTTCTATCTTACTAAAACTTTGTTATGATAATTTTTTTTATATAGAAGAAAAAAAAACACAAGATAAGCAGATGCAATAATAGAGTCATCTGAAATCTCATTAATCGACATTACTAATAGAATATATGTAGCCAATGAAATAATTGATTTTAATTTACTTAAAAAGAAAAAAGGTCGATCATGACCTCCAGTCATAATGGTTAAATAGGAAATGGTCGGCGACCTTTTTATTTTTCGTTGATTCGTGTATTGGTTAATTGGTCTGGCGCTTTGTCATCATTGTCAGTTAAAAAGAGAGTAATAGTAACGTCGAACTTGTCACGCACGTTAATCTTGTTCAACTTTCTCTATTCCGTCCGCTAATTTCCTCTTTTTTTCTCTTTTATATCCAACAAACCACGTACTCTGTACGAGTCAATTACAAGTAACATACTTGTCCTCTTCTTGTGTCGGTGTAAATTGGATTTTTTTTGAAGCATCAAGCTTTTTTTAATGGATCCTTGGAGGTTTTTTTTTCGGATATAGAATGCGTTGTGTAACATCATCATTGAATGTATGCATGTCTATGCATGTGTATAGCACTAGTGAAAGTGATAAAAATGCAAACTACTTTTATGGATTTGAGCTTCTGCATCATGCCTATACACATATAAATATATATATATATATATACTTCCGGTTTTTCCCGTTTATTCTTCAATGCAAGACAATTACCATGGGAATGACAACGCATCCGCATAGTTGTCTGTCAAATAATTCCGTTCTAAAGTGACACCTAGTCAAGGTTGATGTGCGCGTGCATAAACGATGCTTCCGCTTTAGGTTGTCTACGAACAATTTATGAGCATATATTAGATCTCTTATGAGAAGAATATGCCGATTAATTGGGATGAATCAAGGTTATCATTGAGGGAAAAAAGAGTATAAACGTTGATATCTGACACGCCTTATACTCCCTCTTCGTATTCTCTCTTTCTTACTTTTCTCACTTGGCTTCTCTTGTATGTATAGTATGCCAGGAAACGATGATGATTAATCACTTTGACAGCACGCGGTAGTCGTTGGCGGTGGCTCTATGTTACGCAATGATTTCATTCCCATTCCTTTCGTATCTTTCCTCCGATCTTTTCCTTTCTTTCTCACTCTTTTCTCCTTCATTTTTGTATATGAATAAAAAAATCCTCCTTTTTTCTTACGAGAGCAGCATCCGTTTTCTTTTCTTATCGTTTAGGGCTTGTCGACGACCGACCGACTGAACGTTTCGGTGCCACACATACATATACGTTGAGCATTTGTCTCTTTCTCTCTCTCTCTCTCTCTTGTTCTTTCTCTTCACATTGACGCACGCCTGTTTTACACATTCAAGTAAGTATATACAAATACACACCCGATATGATTAAAATTGATAGCATATGTACACACGTGTCATTGTTCCCTATCTTGTACAACGAACATAAAAAACGAAAGAAAGATTGTCTGAAGTTTTATATTGATCGTTTTTATTCACGTTGATAATTAGGTATGGCTGTTTTCTTTTTCTTATTTCTTTTTTAAGCTTCATTTCCGGATTGATGATAGTAGAAGTGATTTGTTATTGTTTTATATTAGAACGGAAATCATTTTTCTTAGTCTTTGACATACACGCATATGATAACAACATATGTGTGTTTTATATCGCTAACGGGCTTCTAAATGTATGTGATTAGCCTTTTATTTTTACTATTCACACCAAATTTAATTGGCATCGCGCTTGTCTCGATTTTGTTTATTTGTATTATGAACACATATAGACATCTAAACAGCTGTAAAACCAATTCAATCATTTACATAAGAAACCATTTCAAGATGAAATAACAAATCATCATTGTAATGTCTTTTCATGATTTATTGACATATATCAATGAAATGAAATCTTCTATACATCAGGTTAATCTTCCTTGAAACTTTTTTTTTTCTTTAACCTTCATGTATCTGATATCATCAGGTGTAAACATCATTCAGATGTGAATGATAGAAGGCCGCCAAGGTCCCCCGTCAGTCATATGCAGTTGTCATTACCATCGACAGAGATTGATCGTTATGTGACATACATATACATTCACATCCAATGACTATGATCATTAGGACTGTCATTTGGATATATATTATATAAATATATATATATAGATGTATGCATATAATATGTTCGGAGAAAAAAAAATAGTTTTCATTTGGTGACATCATCATTATTACAGAAGTACTTGAGTATACCGATGAAGATTTTATTTTCTATTTCATTGCACTGTGATTAAAGTCCTTTTGTGACTAGTGTTACATGTAATATTTGTGTGTGTGTGTATTTATGTGCGTGACAAATGTCCACTGATCGAAATAGTTATGTTTGCATTGTATACGCAATAAGAAATAGATGTGTGTTGATAAGTACAATTACGTAGACATACTCTTCCACTCTTAAAAAATTGTTCGTGTAGCCTTCAATTTGAATAGATGAAGACAAACTACATATACACATATATATATATATAGTTCAAGATCAAGTATTTGTTAAAGAAAAAAAAAGGAAGAGAGCGAAACAAATGAGTTTACTTTCAGTTTTTCTTTTCTTTTCTTTTTCTTTATGACACTTCTGATGAATTTGATATAGGCATAAAAGGAAAGGTTTCATTAAATATTGATTCTTGAGTTTTATATTTGAGTCAAGTATTATTTAAAATGTGGCCAATTAAGTTTTCTTTTTTTTATTAGCAAAATAAAAACTTTAATATGTATTGATTAAAGTCAATTATATACTTATTAGATTGAAAAAAGAAGAAGAGATTTTATCAATTTTAAGTCTTATCTATAGTTCGAGACAATTCCCGATTGTCATTTCTTTTTGTATTTTGAATTCTATTCAAAATCATAATAGTCAGTATGTCGCCTCGTGAAAATGGCAATAGCAGCTTAACATATATTCATTCTGTCTATGTCTCCTTTATTTTTTTGTAATCCGCCTTTTCTATTACTGTCTGGTTTGACCATTGTCTAATTGTTTTTTAGTCACATGTGCCTACAGTTGTGCATCAGTTACTGTTGTTGCTGCTGCTGCTGTAGACACCAAACGACTAGTCATAAATCATATGTTCAATTGTTGGATGCTGGTCAGTCGCCGCCTGTTCGTTATTTCTTTTCTTTTTTTTTTGCATAAGGTATCATGAGAAGAGTAGGCTAATGATTTGTTTGTAAATTGTATACACCTACCTTCGTCTGTCTAATTATTTCCTTTCTTCATTCCATACATGTCCGCTCGATTGATTGAATTCGGAACAAGAACATCTGGCTTTAGTGCACTAGTGGTCAATACAGTATAACCTCATTAACAAGATCATTTCTCTATATGTGAAAAGTGAACGTTACAAGATAATCTTGCTCTATATGCCCTCTCTCTCTCCCCCTCTCATATACACATTTTCTTGTTATTGTTTGATCTTCTTCCTGTCTATCTATATATCATATACACACTTTTTCTTGTTATTCATCTATTCGAAAGTTCAAATCGACCTAAAAAAAGATGGCCACAACTACGAGTATACACTTCTCGATTCTCTTCAATAAATGTGTTTATATGTGTGCATTCGCCGCTATTAATTAGGTCGTCGCCGTCGTCTTACATGTTATGTGTCGGACGACAACAAGTGAGATGAAGTATGTACAATTATTTTGACAGAAAAAAAATCTTCCGCCCTAATGCTTTCAATACGACAAAGAATTATAGTTCTAGTTTGCTTTGTATTCAAATAAGAAAAAGAAATCCACTAGAGTATTTTGTTGAAGTATTCGACAACTACTATTTATAACTATATATATATATAAGTATTATGTCGTACTTTTGTATAACATGGCGTAGTAAATTGTAATTACAAGTGAGATGGACAACTGATGACATGAGACAATTGTCCATGACTGTTATACGTGTCTCATGTAAAATCAGTTGTCTGCTATCTATGTCTTGTTCTCATACGGTTGTGCAATCTTTTTTCTTCTTCTTTTTTTTTTTGTTGACAAAAGCGTCAAGTTTTGATGAGACGAGTATGTGAGACAAACATCTCATCGCATCTTCCATATACATTAGTTTTTTTTCGTTGCCATCATTGTTTTGTCGATAACATGAGAGAGACGCAATGGCAATAGCCAGATGGTGGTCGGCATTCCATCTGTCTTCGTTGTCGAATGAAATATGTTTAGCAATGGCAGCAGACTTTCTATGTATTAACGATTAATAACAGCTTTTCTTCTTCTTCGTCTTCTTCTCCTTCTTCATCCTCGTCTTACATATAAATGTGGACATCGGTCACTCATGTTTGTTTCGCGTGAGTAATAGTGATGATGTCATAATCAATTTTGTAGTATTATAATATTCATAATTCAACTTAGACTCATGGGGGATTTGAATTATAAAAAAAAGGGAGAAGCAGAAGCAAGAATAAATTTAATTAGATGAAATATATGCTCAACATCCGCCTCTTTCTCATTCATTTTCTTTTGCTTCTATTTTCATAACGGAAATAATCTAAGCGTATGTTTCTTTAATTTCTTTTTATTTTAGATTTATATATAGATAGATATATAGATATATATAAGTACACAAATGAAAACAAATATTAAACAATAAGTAATTGAAGACAAATCATAACAATGAAATTTATTCTGATTTTTTATCTTTTTATTCGTAAGTGTATTTTATTAGAAAAATAATAATAATAGAAAAAGACTAAGAATATAATATTTGTTTAGATTTATGTGAATGTACAGATAATAATCCACCAATTATTATTGAACAACCACAAGATATTTTAGCTGAATTAGATAAACCGATGGCTTTACATTGTCGTGCTGAAGCTTCATCATTAGATGATCTTCGTGTCGATTGGTATAAAGATGGTCAATTAGTAACGATGGATCCAAATGCACGTATTATAACAGAATTTATGGCTTTACATGTTATTAATACGATGCCACAGGATGCTGGTGCTTATTATTGTATAGCTAAAAATTCTTATGGACGTATACAAAGTCGAACAGCTAAAGTACAATTTCTAAGTATGTTAAATTGTTTTATTTTCTGAGTAAATATTTATTTTATGTGTTTTTTTATTATTATTATAGAACTTGATAAAGAATTTCTTATATCTCCTTCATCAATGACAGCATCACTTGGCGAACGTATTCGTCTTCGTTGTGAACCACCATATGGTTCACCAAGTCCAATAATTCATTGGACAAAAGATGGAAAGAATTTATCTATTCCACTTGATCATAATGATCTTATCTTTCCATCGATCCAACCAACAGATTTCGGTTCATATCGTTGTATTGCATCAAATGGTTTATTACGGCAATCATCAATCGCTCATTTAACGGAATTTCAACGACCAAAAATCTATATACGTCCATCAACATCACGTGTCGATATTCAACGTGGTAAATCAATTGATTTTCAATGTCAAGTTGAAAGTTTAAATGATGATGATCAATATCAAATTGAATGGCATTATGCTTATAAAAATAGCCCAATAATAGGACGAAATAATCGTATTGATATTCCATACGTTGAATATAATCATAGTGGATTATATATTTGTGTTGTTATTTATAATAGTGGACGACGACGACATTTATTTACTGAAGAAATCTTTCTTGCTGTTTATGAACGTTTAACAAGAAATAATCAAGAGAAAATTTTTAGTCAAACAACACTTAATGTTTATGCTGGACGATCAGCTATTATTGATTGTCAATTACCATTTGATACTAATCAAAACATTTCATGGTCAATTGTTAATCGTAGTGATATATCTTTAATAAATAATAATCGTTTTGATTTTCTTGATAAAAATCAATATCGTGTAAAAATTCGTCGTATTGAAGAATTTGATAATGATCTATTATATGAATGTTATTATCAAAATAAAAAATCATTTAGTCAAGGTTTAATTAAATTACATGTTAATCGTATTGAATCACCACCTATTATTCTTTATGTACCGAATAATCAAACAGTACCTATTGGCGTTGAAGTTATATTTCCTTGTCAAACAAAAAATACGACAAAAATTCAATGGTTATTCATATCATCAAATAATCGTCTACATAAATCAATTAAAATTGAAAATAATAAAAAATATAAAATTGAAACAAATCATGATTTAATTATTCGTCATGCAGATAAGTAAGTAAATAGAAATCAAGAATTTTCTTTTTCTAATGTAATCAAATACTCAAGAGAATCTTATAGAAATTATACGAAGAAGAAGGAAAAAAATCTTATTAATATTATCCCTATTGTATAAATTGTCAATAGTAAGATGAAAAAATACATTTTTGATCTTTATTTATATTTAACAAGTTGAAACTTCGAGAGTACTTAATATTTTATGACTTTTTTTTCTTCAAAGATTTGAATAGTTCATAAAGAATATCAATCGACTTAATTATTCAATAAAAGATAATATAAGAATAGAGTTGATTAGATTTATAATTTTAATGAGTTATTTTATTTATTTGCATACATAATTAGCATAGTTGATATATCCTTCAGGTGAACATGATGAAGGTTCTATAATAAACAAATCATAATTGCTCGTTAACTATAACAAGCGTCTGCCGCGACTAAAATTTTCGAATCCAAATTAAATTAATAGAGCATGTTTCTTTTTTCCTCTTCTATCTAATGAATTGAAGTATCCTTCAATTATTATTTTTTAATCCTTGTAGAACTGATATTGGCACATATAAATGTATTGTAACAAATTCTAATGATGATGAAACGAATTGGATTGCACATTTAAATGTTGAAGATCCACGTTCTAATACAATATTTCAACGTGTTGAACGAAAAGATTTACCACAATCACCTACGCAACCATTAGCAATTGCTATAAATAGTAATTCAATTGAATTAGCATGGAATTATCCATCAACAGATATTCAAGGTTATCTTATAGAATATTTTAATTTAAATAGTGAAGATAAAAATCTTGAATGGAAACGTATATTTACAACAAATAAAAATTCTCGTTCAATAATCAATGATTTACAAATAAGTTCAACATATCAATTTCTTATACGTGCACGAAATTCATTTGGTTATGGTCAACCATCATTACTATCTGAATTAATTGAAACACGTAATGAACAACAATTAAATGATGAATTTATTCGTTTATTAGATCCAATAAATATTCAAGAAACAAGTGTAACTATACAATGGAATATTCGACAACAAAATCAATTTATTGATCGATATTCAATATCAATAACAACTGAAAAAGATCTCAATGAACGTATTGAAACAATAATTAATAAACATAATCTAACAACATATACAATTACTAATCTACGTCCAAATACAGATTATACAATTCGTGTTATAGGAATGAATAGTTTAACAAATACAATCAATCGTCCAAGTAATGTAATTGTAATTCGAACATTAGAAAGTATACCATCATCCTCACCAGTGAATGTTCAAGTTGAATTAACATCAATAACAAGTCTTTCAATTCGATGGAATCCACCATTAGATACAGAACAAAATGGTCGAATTATAGCTTATAAAGTGAATTGTTTAGGAGCAAATGAATCAAGTTCAATACGTTTATTAAATATAAGTGCTGATGCTAAAGGATTACATATTAAAAGTCTTATTCAAGATATGCAATATTGTATAAGTGTTGCAGCACGAACACTTCTTGGTTATGGACCCTATTCACAACCGATATGTGTTACAATGAGTAAGAATAAAAAAAACATAAAAAATATCATAATGTGCCCTTTTTTTTCTTCTTTAGATGATGAATTTTTAAAATTAAATCGTAATTTAAATCGATTTAATATCAAACGACGTTTTCGTGAAGCAATTGCACAACCATGGTACGTAATTTAATATGATAATAATTATTTTGATATTATGTTTTCTTTTTTTTTTCTTGTCATAGGTTTTTACCAATTATAATTATATCAAGTATTCTTTTTACTTGTGCTTTATTATATACATTTTGGTTATGTTTTCATCATTTAATTCATCAACATCGTCATCGATTAAAATTTGTTGGTACAAATTCTTCATCATCATCGTCATCATCATCATCAAATCAATTTGTTGAAATGCCTGTACAAAAAACATTAAGTAATGGTACACGTTATGATTTAATTAAAGATACACCTCCACCACCATCATCATCAACAGCTCTATGGACTGATACAATTGGAAGTGGTATACGTCTTCAATGTTGTACAACAACAACAGCATCAGCTAGTAGTCAAAGTGAACATGATAATCATCTTGTGAATATACATAAAAATCCAATAAATACACTTTTACAACAATCGAAACAACCACAATTGAATCCATATGCAACAACTGGAATATTTCAACATAATCATTCACCACCACAAACAACATCAACATTATTACCAACATATGTAAGTTAAAAAAGTTTTCTTTTTTTTTCTAATATTTTAATTTGAAAATATTTAGTCTGAATCTATACGTTTACCAATATTACCATCACATCATTCAGTATTAGATCAACAACCAATATCATCCGTACAATATCAACCACCATGGCTTGATCATCCATCACAATCATTTCAATATCGTTCTCAACCTCATACACCTTATCATCATCATTATTGTATACATTGTACATCACAATCACATCCTCATACACCATCATCAATACGTACAACAACAACAACACGTCCAAAACATAATATTCAACAACAAAATAATATTAATTCCAATATAAGAAATAATAATGATGTTAGATGGCCTATGGAAACAACAGTGAACAGTTCACCATTGTAAGTTTATCTTACCGTATTCTTTCTTTCTGTTAAATCGTAATTTTTCATTTCCTTTAAAAGAATGAAACGTCAATCACAATATGCTGCACCACCACTTATACCTCCTCCACCTCAACCATCAAATTCTATGATGATTAATTCCTTAGGCGGAGGTAATATTTCTAATGCTTTTCTTTTTCTTAGAATAAAAGTATTCATTTTTCTTTCTTATTAGAAACCATGACAACTTCATGGGCAAGTTCAACCGATGATAGTAATCGTGAAAGTGTACCATCATCGTCATCACCACCAATTGATAGAAAAGAACAAAGAAAAATCATTCATGAAAATAGTCGTTCCAGTAGTGAAGGTTCATTATTTTCTGATTCTGACAATCAACAAAATGAATCAAATCTATCAGTATTAATTGATCAAGAAAGACGACCAACATTTCTTATGCCTACAGCATAAGAAAAAAACATTAAAACTAAATTTTTCTTCTTCTTTTTTTTTCTGAATCTAGTCATTTTGTTTTGTTTTTTCTTTCTTTATGTATGCGCGTACGATTGATTTAGGTTAGTGACCTATTTTTTTCTTCTTGTTCGATGTTTGTATTTCTTATTGTTTTCTTTTTTCTAGCTGTCGTTCAGATCAATTCTTTTTTTCTTTGTTGTATAAAATAAGTGACAGTTTCAGGGAGTGAAAAGATTATTGAACTATTTCATATAAATGTAATAATTAAAAAAACGATAATTTCTAATTATTCAATAACTGATCAACAATATTTTCGGAAGTACGACAAAAATAAACACACTTATCGAGACCAGATTTGTTTGTTTATATCTATTGTCTTTTAGTTTCCGACAGTTTATCTGAGTAAGAAGAATATAATTGATGTTTTTATCTCTTTTATATTTCAACACAAAAGAAAAAGATTGATAGGATTATTTCTACTATTGGTATTACTTAGTAGAACATACACTTATGAGAAAGTGTGAGGAAGGACGCTTATTCTCATTGGTATTACTTAGGATTACATCATCATCATCATAACGATTACAAATATATGTTTAGATTGAATTACAATGATCTCAAGATCTTTCCTTGAGGAAGAAATTCATTATGTGACGATACTTTTCTTTTTCTTCGACAATGAGTTTTAACTCATGGGAAATATATTTTGATTATTTAACTCAAGTTTTATAATCTATCAAGACAATAAATCACTTTTCTCGATGGAATTTATCTAGAAAACAATTATCTATGAAAAAAAAGATTATTCTCATATTATAAATTATGATCATAATAAATTATTCATAAAGAAAATCATGTTTCTACTAAATAAAATTCAAATCAGATTTCTTTTAATTCTATTAATCACATGCACGAGTATTTGTATGCTCGCATAAATTTATAGAATTATATTTGCTAGTATACATAACCATCTTTGAATATTTAGCAATACTCTTCATATATTATTAATTATATAGCTTACGTCATTGAATCATAAGATTCTATTTTTATTAATGATAATACTTGATAAAAAGATAATCTAGATGATAAAGTAATACTTTTATTAGATTTCTATATTGAATAGAATTGATAAGCTGTTATGTATGTAGCATACTTCTTCTATAGTAATAATTCATTGTGTTTATCGTCAATATATATTAAAAACAACCATACGAAATGACTTATAATTTTCAATATGATGGATAATATGGATGTTAAATTAGTAATTCATATCTATGTTGACTTTTACTTTCTAGTGATATAATAATAAAGCTATAGGTCATAATCTTGATTAATTATTTGACAACTTATATCAAACGGAGATATTTGTTTATATATCTTCTTTCATAGATCTACTGATCATGTTGATATATTTTACCGTATCTTCCTATCTTGAAATCAATCGTAATATCATATCTTTGAATATAATTCTAAGAAAAGAAAGTCTGATTTTTTTATATATTGCACATATTTTATTAAAAAATGGAAAAAATCTTCCGACAGTTTACATGTTTAGATTAAGCACATTTATTTCCATTTTTTAAATTGAAACAACGACAACCAACATTTGGAATACAGTTCTCGCCTGCTAAACAACATTGTGTTTTATGTGGAGCATATTGACATGTCTTTTGATTTGGTGGACAATCTTTAATTTGAGATGAAACATCTTCGTTTGATGCTAAAATTGGATCAATAACTGATTTCCAATCATCAAGTGACCATGCTGAACTTGCACTTGTTGCTACACCATTAATAAGAAATGTTGGTGTACCAACAATACCTAAATATAACAAACAATTTTTTACTGCTTAATCCATATAAATTTACTTACCACGTGAACAAGCATATTTCCATGAAATACGTGTTTCTTCATTAATATCATCACTAGCCATACCAGCAAGAAATCTAGCTTTTGATAAGAAACCAGCTTTATCGACCATTGAAGCAAGTGAATCAATAATTTGTGTCATAGTCATTGATTTTGTTGCATCATTAGACCACATTTCTTGAGTTTCAAATACTCTTGTTGCATATCGAAAAATAGTATCAAGATTACGATTTGTAGCATTAGCAATAACATGTAAACCTTGAGAAGCTACAAATGAATTTGTATGATATGGAAGTGGAAATGTATGAATTCGAACATGAATTCGTGTAGTATATGTTTGAATTAATTGTAAAAGTGTTGGCCAAGATGCTTTACAGCCTGGACAAAGTGGATCAAAAAACATTTCTACAACGACATGTGCATCAGCTGGTCCACCAACACCATATCCATCTGGACGTGATGGAATAGGTACTTGAGCTGATATAAAACCAGCATAAATCACAGTAAATATTAATGAAATTTTTATAAATTGCATCATTTTTCTTGTATTAAGATAGTTAATAGGATACACAAGAAGTTTTCTTTTTTATACATGATTTATATATATATAAGATAAGATAAGATAAGAATAAAATGACTTATATCATACACCATCATGACTACTTGCAAATTTTTGTTGTCTTATCATATCAAAAGTATATTATCTCGAAATTATTTCATTAATATTTTTTCTATGACATTAAACTTTGAATTATGAATAATTTTATAAGATATTTAGATGATTAATCTTTTCCGAACGGGTATTATCAAATGGCAGCAGTTTGCCGTCGAGGGGTACGGTATTTTTGGAAAGGCTGTCTGGAAAGGATTAAATATTAATAGACAAACAACATAATGTTTTATCAGATATAATAGATCATATCTACTCTTTAAAAGTATTTGCGTAATGTTAACTTGTATTTTGTATATTGATATTTTTCTTAAATCTTAATTGTGAAATTGATTAGATAAAAATACACTTAAAATACGAAGATTAAAAATATTTTTTCTGTACTAAAATATCAAACATTTAGTAAAAGGATATATAAATATAGATAAGAAAAGGTTCGATTTCTTCTTGACATAAAACAAATGGTATTAGTCATGAGATTATACTAGTAGAATCTTATTTTCGTAAGTTCGCAATTTAAAATAATATTGACAACATTTATCATCTAATAATAGAATTTTTAAATAAAATTTTTATTATTAATAGAAATACATATGAAAATCATGTATTCATTAGCGACTCTATTTTTTTACTCAAGAAGACATAACTACAAAAATATTGACATGTATTATGTATACGATATCTTGTGTCACTATTTACTCATGCTGCTCTTTATTATAATAAATGCGGAGGTCTTAAACATTGACGTCAGAAGAAAAAGGAAAAGAAAAAGGTGAATATGATTATAATTCTATTTTGTGCATAAACTAAAACACTGCACATCGTTATATTTCATTGAAAACAAGATTTCATGCGACATGTCTATCAAACTGATAAGATTTCTATTATTATTGGAGACTATTCATATTGCTTATACAAATAAATTAGGAGCAAATAAATTAATTCAAGATATTTGTGATACATTACAAAAAAATAACAGTCTACAAGTTGATGAAGATCGACAATGGGAAATAATTTGTCAAGAATTATTTGACTTAAAAGATAATGAGCAGGATAATGCTGGTAAGTATTTACAATGAAGTTTTTAGTCAATTCAAATTTAACAAGAACTATGTAACTATTCTTCATTTAAATTTAGAACAATATATTTTACAAAACAAATTATCAAAAAAAGCTGCAATTCGTGTTAGTAGTATTCGTACAGGAAGTCGTACTAGTGTTAGTGGAAGTCGCGGTAGTAGTAGCAGCAGCAGCGGAAGTCGTACACCTTCTATTACACGATATAGCAATATTCGAACTGGTACAACACTTTCTCGTCCAACTGGATGGCTATGGAGTGGATCTCGATTCGTGTTTCTTCCCTTAGCTAGACGATATGGTCATCGATCTTCATCATCATCATCTCGATTCACAACACCATCATCTAGTGGCACAGTAAATTATTATTATTGTACATCAAATGATAATCCTTCTACAGAGATTCAATGTAGTTCAATAGATGGTGATACACAATGTTGTGAAGATGACGAAAGTCAACAAGCATTCTGTTGTGGAGGAAACATTCCTAATTATATTACACAAGATATGAATCGAGCAACACAAAAAATAGCAAAATTTTTGTATACTCTTACAGCACTTGCTTTATGTATGCATTTATTTATGCGACGTTTTAATCGATAATAATTTTTGGATATTATTTTCTTTTCCATAAAAATTCATTTTAGTAACGATGTATATATCTTCAATATAATATTGAGTATAAATAAAAAAATTCAAAGAACTAACATTATCTTTTCTTATAAGCATGATTTATCCACATATTTATATTATGAAATAAACTTTAAGTATAAGACATTGTGGTGTTGTTATGGATATGATTACATTTCATATTTATTGGATATTTAAATACACTATAACTTGTTTGTATTATAAATACCTTCATAAATCATAGGTATTGTGTCCTTCTATATTTAGGTATTGTATTATTATTATACAAATCTATTGTAAGATGAAGGTTATTATTGAGTACGAGTCATCATTAAATATATGATAATAGGTATTTCTTTTCGAAGTTAAAGCTTTTATTGATGTTATAATATGGCCAGGGGTGTAACAAGAGATGCCGAATTCAAGAAAGATTTAGCAGACGGTGTCCTCTAGACTTTGCTCGCTTGCAACAATCTTTAGTGTAACATCAGTAATTCCAAAAACATGGATGCGTAGTATAAGAGAAATTTCGAGAGCAATGAGGGTGATCTGCTCCCGCGCCTCCTACGTCGGTATACCCTTGAATATAACAATACAAGGATAACAAAAAACATAAAACAAACAACAGAACGTATTGTCATTAAAAGGTGGAGAGTAAACGACAAGGAGATACATAACATCGGTCTTTTGTCTCTAATGATTTTGCGTGGTTTTGTTAGTGTTATGCGGAGTGTGTTATTGTGAAGATATCTGTAATAGATATGAATAATAAAAATTATTGATTAGAAAACAAATATGTGAAGAAAATGCAACGAATCGATTTCTTTTAATTGACTCATTTATTATCATATTATATTACATCTAAATAATACGTAGGTGTATTATTTCATTGAAATTATGTGATGTCATTTCACCTTCTTTGTATATAACATCAGCAGATATATCTTTCTCTCTTGCAGACTGAAAATTAAATATGACTACGTTAAATATCTCTCAAACTTCGAATACTGACGAAGCATGTTCAATATGTTTAAGTCCTTTGACACAACGAGACTTAGATGTATTTACGACGACATGTCATCATAAATTTCATTTCCAATGTTTAGCAAAACATATTCGAGCAAAAAATAATCAATGTCCTTTATGTGGAACTCGTCTCAATTCATTAGTTAACATCCTCAATTGTTCATCGACCATCACCACTACTACTACTAATAAGACACCATTAGCTATTCAAAATGTTCGAAAACAAGAGGTAGCATCTATACAAACTATACCATCAACAAATCGGAAAAATACATGGACTAAATTAACAAAATCATTAAGTAAAGCATTTAGGTTGAGAAGGCCTACATCGAGAATATCTAATAGTCCTGGCACATCTAATGCTTCGCGCATATCTAGGCCTTCAATTAATAGTAGCAATAGAAGTTTCAGACCCAATGTAAGTAATTATATTTTGAGAGATAGTTTTTTTTTCGTCATATTTTCATTTAGTTTTCTAATCAAAATTCTTCAGCAGAAGATCTTATCGATGAAAAAGCTGTTCGTGCTCTTTCAGCTCGTATTCAAGCTGCTCGTCAACAATACAAAGAAGGTGATCATGAATTTCCATTGATTACTTTAACTACTACATTAGAATTTGGTGGACAAGAATCAACAAAAGAATCAAATATTTATGGAATGGTTACATTAAAAGCTCCCTCCATATTTTCTAATATAACAAACGAAAAAGAACTTGATGAATTGCATGTACCAATAGATCTTGTTTGTGTTGTTGATCAAAGTATTTCAATGTTAAAGGTTAAAATGCCTTTATTGAAAGAGACTTTAAATTATATAGTTGATCAAATGGGATCTCTCGATCGTTTATCTATTATTTCATTTAATACTCAAGCATTTGATCGTTCAAATGGTCTTAAATTAATGACACTAGAAAAGTAAATATTACATTTTCTCCTATATTTTAATAACAAAAATGATTTTCTTTATAGTAAACAAGCAATTCGTAATGCTATAACAAATGAGATTAGTGCAGTCGGTGGTACCCTTATTGGTAATGGTCTTACAATGGCGATTGAACAATTAAGAAATCGTCGAACAACGAATCCATTAGGTGCCATACTACTTCTAACTGATGGGCAAGATAATCTACCTCATGATTATACAAGCTTAATGGAATCTTTACCTGAAGATGTTGTCTGTCATTCGTTTGCTTATGGACCTGATCATAATGCCGGTTTACTTTCTCAATTAGCTGAACAAGGTCATGAAGGTACTTTTACATATATCGATCAAGTTGACGCAATAGGACCATCATTTGGAACAGTACTTGGTGGTCTTTTCACATGTATTGCAAAACAATTATACATTAAATTAGAATTTGATCAGGATTATAAAATTACTCATACTCATACAACTTATAAATATAAATCGAAAGATTTACCATCTGAACAATTAACATTTAACATGACTGATCTTAATGCTGATGAAAATCGAAATCTTGTTTTTCAATTATCTGTACCAATCATAAAGTCTTCAAATGAAGATAACGCAAATAATAATATTATTGGTAAACTAAAATATATCTTTATATTTAAAGAAAATCATTTTATTGAATTTTACTTTAGGTCATGCATCTCTTCAATATATCGATACTTATAGCAATCAAATAATTCATACTCCTTCAGTTCCATTTATTCTTTCTCGTCCGAATCAGATCGATCCACAATCATCACTTTTACAAATTAATCATACACTTGATGTACAACGTAATCGAGCTGAAACAAGTCAAATATTAAGACGAGCTGTTGAAATTCACGATTATACACATGCTCATGAAATAATTAAAAATCAAATAGAAAAAATTCGTTCATCAATTTCAGCTCAAGATCCTTTATGTCAACAATTAATATGTGATTTAGAACATCAATATTCAAATCAACGTGAATTTAAAACAATAATGACAAATACGTATAGACAACATGGGCAAGAACGTGCTACATATTCAACGAATAAAACAACAAGCACAGCTCATTATATGACATCAGGTCAAGAACGTTTAAAAAAGAAATTTGTAGAATAAAATTCTATTTTTCCACATTTTCAATTGTACATTCTTGTTGATTTCTTTTTGTTCGCATACGTGTTAATTCAAGTTGTGTTTGACCAATCGTTGCAGTCATAATACCAATACGTCTACTATTACTTGATCTTAAACAATATCGTAATATATTATAAAATTCTTGTCGAAACAATCCACTTGTTAAACAATGAACATAGAATGTTGTCTAAAATAAATCCAAAATACTTTTTTTAATCAATAAAAATGAAAGATTTCTTACAGCATAATTAATAGATCCAATAAAATTTAAAATTGATTGTAATTGTAATGCTTGAGTCATTGAAAGTTGTGCTTGTAGAACAGGTTGGAGAAGTATATTGAATAAACCTAATGGAATTTGTGTTGAGAAAAATAAAAATATACTCGTTAACATAATTATTAACATTTGTCGATCAACAAACACATTACGACGATTTTGATTTAATTGTTGTCGTTGTTTTTGTTGTATTCGAATACGAATAAACATATCAATTGTCACAATCAGAAGAAGAATTGTTGGTAAAATAGTTTGTAAACAAGCCAATAAAATACTCCATACCTAAATAAGAATATACATATAAATAATTTTATTATTCTATATCAGAAATAATTCAATATACTTGTCTAAAGAAAAATGAATATGTTGTACTTGATATTGGTCCACAAATAGTTGATCCTGGTAGACTTCCAAATGTAGGCAGAAGTAAATGAGAGTTAAATGCCATTGCACAAATAAGAATAAATAATGCCCCACATAGTACACGTTTTCTTGTACATAATTTTTTAACTTGAAATGGAAAACGAATACGTAGCCATCGATCAATTGAAATAGCTAAAAGAAGCCATGCTGATGAACACATTGCTACTGATTGAATAAATGAACGAAAACGACACAGAGCATTAGATGCAGCAGGATTAGTTTGAACGTTAATGGGTGTGAGACCAATGCCAACATAAAGAAAATCATAGATACATACTAATAAATAAATAATATTTGATACAGTAACACAAACAAAGAGACAACTTGTTGATACTGTACGAAGTGTACGTCGAAAAAAAATAATAATACTACTAATATGACCAAAATATCCAACAAGAAACAAAAAAATATAACCATAAAAAGCTATATTTCGTTGTAGAGCAGTAATTGTTACTGTATTATCGCCACCTCCCGAACCATCTGGTGGTGGCCCGCCTGGTGGTGACCCTCCTGGAAATGAGCCACTGGGAGGTGGACCAGGAGGATTACCCGGAACGACGGAAGCGGCAGTTGTGGATAACCAAATAGTGCTATTCATTTTTTTGCACTTATATAACGAGATAGTTATATGTAAAGAATCTTATATATATCAAAAAAGTTTTCAATGACGTAGTTGCAACTGGTTTTGATAAGTCAATCGAATAAGTTTATATTTACTTTATCGAGTAGTGCCTGTGCTGTCTGTAGCTAGCGAAAAAATTATTTTCCTTGTCAGTGCCACACTACTTGATCCTGACATATGTCATGAGAACGACTCCAAGCATTTCATCTTTTCATTATTTTATGCACGAACAAAAGTCATCATATCCTCTTCAGACTAGTGAGTATTCATCATTTTTTTTGCACTCCGTGTTTCCTTCTATAAATAGACCTTTTTTGAATTTTTTCTACCGTAAAATATAATTATTTTTCATATTTATAGGAATAATCGTAGCACATACTGAAATATACGCAATATAAT